CACTTTGTGGACCATCGACAGAATCAGTGAGGCTGCAGGGAGGCAATAGTGTCATTTATCCTACAGCATGATTCCCATCGTTCTGGCAGAAAGATAGCAAAGGTTATGGATGAGGGGAGAGGAACCTCCTCAAGAGGCTCAGCTGGCAGCTGGAGCTCCAGAGGACGCTTCCACCTGAAGTGAACATAAATGGCTCTGTCAGGGTGGCATGAAATTTATGTCTAACATTTTACAATACACATATGGAGGTGAGCTCAGAAATATGAATTGTTTGGCATAACCATTTGTACAAACAGTTGTTGATGTGCGGTTGAAGTTTGTGGCTCTGATTCTGGAGCCAAGTTGAGGAGCTAGAAGAGTTTACTGGCCTCGCTGTGGGCACAAAGCTGTGGAAGATGCAGTAAGATAGGAGTGTAAGGCTGAAAAGGAGTCCTCAGTTTCCAGTGCAAGTCAACATCAAGGAAACTCCAAATGGTTGTGTATTCACTCTAACATTTAAATAATGTAAGTTCCAATTTCCAGAAGCACCTTCTGACTTACAGAAACTAGACTGTATCTCAGGAAGTGACAAGTTCTTGTGGGAGAAAACATCTCACAAAGTTCATGGAAAAATGGAAAAATATTGTTGTAAAATGCTTCCTTGTAGTTCAGCTTGCATTATGACTAGAGATTAAGGTCATGAACATTAAGTTGGTACTGTCTCTTAGAGATTTATTGCAGAAGCTTCATACTGCTTTTAGACTCAGTAAAATCTCACAACTTTTTAGAAGAAAAAAGCCTAAAGTGGTAAATCAGTCACTAAACAACCTCCTCTGTATTGAGTGGTGAATGCTTGTCAACATGCATGGATGGCATCTTTCATGTGATCTTCTTGTGATCATCAGTAACAATGAGAGAGGTGGATCATGTCCCCACTCCCCAGCACAGCTGGTGTACTTTTTTTCTCAGAAAGCTAAAACTTGAGTATTTTGGTTGCTGCAGGTGAGAAGTATACTGAAAACCGCTTGTAAAGATTTTAATGTGCTTATCTGTTGCTCTTACGGTGCTACTTGATTAAGGCAAACACATTGCGGCACTAAAAAAAAAAGACAGGAACTTTGTAATACTCATTCAAGTTTTAATGCTACTAAACCAAAAGTGTCTGCCTAGTTTTCACACTTTCTAGTAAGGCAGAATTTTAAAATCACAGTATTCCCCTCTGCCAAAAGCACATCAAAATGCAACTGAACTCCATGGCAATATTATATAACATAAATAATGTCCTTAGCATTTAAGACTATTTAGCAATACAGACATAGCAGTCTTTATGTCACAGAAAGAGAGAGAAATGGTTTCAACCATTTCTACTTCTTTAAAATGTATACAACTAATATCCTTTAAGTGTGAACTTTCATTTCATGGAGAGAACTTGCACACTTTCTATTAGAGGTAATAAGAGAAGTGTTTCATTTTAACAATTTAATGCTAGCGCTGTCATTGTCTTTATTCTGGACTCATGGACTGCTTTTGCAGAATACAACTTTAAAATACAAGTCAACATTAACGAATTTTGAAATAAGGCTCTTATTTCTCATTTGAGTAGGTCTTTTATTTTAGTATCTGTAGGAGAACTACTCACTTCTCTAAATCCTTTTACCCCAGGAGGAATCAGCAGGGGTATTGTGACTTATTTGAAAGTGAAGAGGCTGAAAAGCTTTAGAGAAGGCATTGTAATCTGCTATAAAAGGCGTGCAGGACAGAGGCAGAGATTTGGAGTTGTTGGTAGCTCTCCAACACACAGGAGAGAAGCATGAGATGGTTAGATTACTCACAAAGTGTTAATCCTGAACAATGAGGAAGTTTTAAAAAAAAAAAAAAATCCCAATCCTTGTTAGGGATTAACTAGAACAAAGAGGCAAGCATCTCTTCTTTTGTTGTTGCGTTGAGATGTATGGTCTCCTGTCCTTTTGACTTATCCAAAGTTCACATACGGAAAATGTTATCATTACAAATACAAAGCCTGTATCTATAATTGTGTTAGTTACAAAGCACTCTCACCTCATTAAGAAATCAGTGCTGTTAGCTTTCTGTTTTTAAAGAAACAGTATATTATACCCAGAAAAACATGGTAAGATGGGGAAGCAGGCTTGCAATGGGTCTCATCTCTCATTTTTTCCCAGGTTGCTAGGTTGGCATTCATAACTGACTATCTTAACTCATACGGTGTGTACAATGAGATAGGTGACTTTCTGCTTTTGGTACCTTGTCACTCAGTCTGGGTTAAGAACTGGCTCTACTTGGCTTCCAAGAGGATGACACGATTACATTTTGAGCTAGTGGAGCTGAGGTTGCTTGGTAAACATGCTAAGGCAGTTGGTTGGGACCTTGAAAGCCCTAAAAAAGTGTGTTTGAGGACTCTCAGTGGGGGACTCACCAGCGGTGATCATGCTGTGATACTATTTTGTGGACAGCATTGAGAACACTGTGTTTACTGGTCAGAAGAGTATCCTTCCTGGACAATACCTCCTGCTAAGCTGCTTTCAACCCAGCCATGAAGCTTTATCTGTCATAATGATTGTGACTCTGAGCTGTTGACTGACATCTTAGTCTCCTGGCATCTGTAGAAATTCAGTGGACAAATGTTAATCAAATTCAGCAAGCAGAAGACTTAGTGTTTGTTCCTTTCTGATGCAGTTTTCCTGAAAGCGAATGGTTCCTGCTCACAAGGAATCCAGGTTCTTAAAATGCTGGAGAATTGCAGGTTTGGGAGAGAAATTTGCTTCCATTCACGGATTCATCGCTGTGCCAGCAGCCAAGCCCTGGTCAGTGGGACAGGACTTGGCCAGTCATTGTAACTGATTTTTCGGAAGCAGCTTTATAGGAATTCAGAAATCCTGTACTTCACAGACAGACCTAGGCATGTTTCCCATTGTTCATGCTTTAGCACCAGCCACCTGTGCTTCATCAGATGTCAGTTGTCTGTGCACTGTCTGTAAGGATATTTTCCAGGAAAAAAAGGATTTTTACCCTTGTCACATGTTAGTGATATTAGTAGAATGATGAATATCAGAACTAATCAGCCTCCTGAGAACCATAGTTAGGCTTGGGATATTACTGTGCAAATAGATAGTAAAGGGCTAATATTCTTATGTTATCTATAAACATCTCCTGCATCTAATTGCTAACAGAGCATACAGAAAAAATATTCTTCCGTCCCATTATGTGCTTTTTCTTCACTTGTCTTCAGTAGAGCAACTGATGTAACTTTAAGAGTTCACAGTTTGAATACAATAGGCTTCATTGATTTTTCTTTTTAATTTCCCACTGCTGAAGTTTGCTACTAAACACTTTCCAGTAGTGACAGAGAAGTGGACTATATCATGATGTTCTGCTTTATGCGAAGTGGATATTCCCTTTTAGCAGTATAATGAAACTGGAAGCCATTTAGTTGAAACTCCAGGCTCAGAGTATTTGTTTGTTGTCTAGTATCTCCCAAGGTTCAGTGCCAAGTAAGAACTACACTGCTAGTCTCTCAATAGGTGAGATTTTATTTGCGTAAGAAATGATGTGTATTAAACAAAATTGTGGATTGTCACTTGCTTTGCACTTTATAAATAAAAGTCCAGACTCCCTGAAGGAAAATCTAAAGGTTACAGTGGAACTTTCATTTTATTTTGTTTTTCACCCACGACCCCAGGTTTAAAAAATGGAATTAAATCATCTGAATGTGTTCAAGTCTGGAAGTGATGAGCATCCAGCACTCCTGATAGTAACATAATTTCTTTAGGGGTTCATATATTGACACTGGACACCAACATTAACCTCTTGTTCTCTAAAATCTTGGTGTTAAGAATCATCTCTTTTTTTAGTTATATAACAACCTCTGTAGGGCTTCTAGTTCCAAGACCCTGATTTTTGTATTTATCACAAAAGGGGAATTACCTTTGCAGCCTATACTGAATACTGTTTTGTATGAAATGTTTTCATGTCCTATGAAAATACCTTGGTTCCTGAAATGTAAGTGCAGTAAATTAATTAAAAATAAACTACTGTGGCAATGTGCAGAGGAACAAATGGGCTCAAACGGGGAAGCAAACACTCAGAATTCATTCATGTTCACCGGCTCAGACTTAATGCTCCTTTCTGGAGGCTTTTGGGTAAGTCAGTTTTAATTTACAGGTGGAACCCGAGGATCCCACCTCTCCAGTAACACCCTGGGTAGGAGTTGTACAGGTTTGCTGGGGGTTACCCTGCAGCAGCCTGTGGCTGTGTTGGCTTAGAAAACGGTGCAGGTTCTTCCCATCCACTGCTGAAGTAACAGGTGAAACAACCGCCCATTGTCACGTGGAAAAGAATGCAGACCGTGGCAGTATCTCGTGGCTTTATAAAAGTGCATGAGCTCTGGGAACAAATCTGTTAGGATAAATTACTGACGTCAGTGATGCTTACTGCTGAACGTAACAAACCAAACTGCAATTGTGAGTCCTTCCCCACCTCAGAAAGGTTCTCTGCCTGCCATTCTTTGCTCATTCTGCTTTGAAGTGCTCTAATTAGGCTTCGTCTCCTCTGTGGGTTTCCCCAAATAAAAAGTGATATATTTTTTATAGAAATGTTATCTTTGAGGTCCATTAATGGTCCAATCTTCTTACATTATCTGTAAATCTGTGTAAATAAAGGCTATTTTTAAAACCTTCCTGTGCTGTTCAAAGGCTTGTTTATATTTTTCAGAAGGCTGTAGTGTTTGCATTATAATGTAAAATGGGAAAGCACCTCTTCTGTTAGTAGCAAAACCAAATAAAACCTTGAGTAATATGAAAAAGATACTTGGTCATGTGTTACTTTTTTTTTTTCATGCCTCAGTGTACCGGACACTCGCAAAGTACAAACATTAAAGAAGTATTCAGAAATTAATATGTTAGTTCTCTGAGGACTAAAAGGTCCTTTTTTACATAATAGGATGGTAAATTGTTTTTATCTGTTGTAGAATCATTCCAAATATGCAGTTTATTTTTCTGTTTCAGGCTTCTAAGGGCCCAGTCTCTGGATTGGTACTATAATAATGTCAAAAGCCGCTTTAAATGTTTTGGAAGTGCCAAAGTCCTGAAAAACTTATACAAGAAACATAGACTGGAGAGCGGAGTTTGTCCTGATGTAATAGGTGAGAACAGCTGTGTTGATTTCTTATCAGTTTATCTACTTTAACACACAAGCTGAGACAATGGAAATTCTGAGATTATTTCAGAAGATATTTTTTTAAAGCTTTTTTTTTTAATAAATTCCTCAGTGGAGAGAAAAATTAGGTAAAGTATCTAGACAACTGTTTAAGAATTCAAAGATTGTTTAATCTTAATTATGCCACTGATACAGAAGAACTGTCATCTTGGTCTGTAAATTGTAGTTTGTATTGTAGCCTGTGTCACAAAATTTATCACAGTTCTGAGTACTCAGTGAATGAGAAGATAATTATGCACTCAACATTTGGCCTTAGAGCACATTTCCATGGGGTTTGAAGCAAAATTTGGTTAACATGGGATACTTTCAGTGTCCAAATTGACCAAAACTTATATTATCCTCACTTAGTTTTGTGTGCTTAAGGTTCTGAAACTGGCCACGTCTTATTTTTGTATTGATGTTTGTAAATGGTTAAAAGATGCTGATTAAGTATTGGCATCACCCTTTTAAATGAAGAGACACGGTTCTCCTTTAACTATGGTGTTACAATGCCTCATCCCATAAAAGAGTAATTGGAGATATAAAATTGGTTAGAAGAAGTGACGTTTGGTGTCATACTGGAAACTTTACCAAATTACTCCAAACACAGCTAGCTGAATGTTCAAAATTTCATTGGATTTATTGGACCAGATACTTTTCCTAATGTAATTCTTTTGAAATTTGTACAGAGACTGTAATTTAATTTTTCTGTAGTCTTTACTTTGGATTTTTCTGAAATTATATAGGGTGGTAAATGGACTCTCTAGTCCTGAGTGAAAATTTTAGGTGTTTCTCATGAAAATTTTCATAGAAGCTTCTAGGGAGAAGTGACCTATGCATTAAATTCTGGTTTATTAGTCTTTTTGATTTCTCTGTATAAAATTCAATTTTCTTGAGAGGTTTCATTAACGGTTGAGAACACATATGTATGAAGACAAGAAAATCCGTGTCAGTGAGGGCAGAAATGGGACAATGGAATTAAAAACTGGGGGAATGGAATTAAAAACTTGAGCCGTAGTCTCACTGCATTTGTCCTTGAATGGCAGTGTGAGCAATGCAATGATGAGTTGCAGTGGCATGTGCACTCTGCGAGACCTTTCTAAGGAAGGCCTTTGAGTCTAAATGTTATTGCTAACTTTCTTCCACCCTCCATGTGACTGTTAGGTAAACCTTTTGTTCCCTTTGAAGATAAATACTGGTATACGTGTCTGGGTTTTATCTTATTTATACAGCATTGCCCTTTAAAATGTGGAATCTATTTCAACCCCAAATGTCATATTAAAGACAAATTCCCTGTATTTAACTTCTACCACGTAAGTTTTATACATGGTAGGTTCTTCCTCTCTCTTTTTTACTGTACAAATAATTTTTTCCATCCAAAATGAATGAGAGAGGTCTTTCATATAAAAGCAGTCGTGTTTTGTACAAAAGCTGCTGCAGTCATGGTTTATACAAAAGGTAGGAGGAATTTTTTGGTTATCCCTCTTTGTGTGAGGTGCCACCATATCTTGAGTGAATATTCTAATCTAATAATGCCTCGGCTCTTAATGGATACTTTTTATACTAATGCACAGTACTGTCTTTTTTGAGCAGAAGGAAGTTTTTTTGAAGGAAGCTTTGAAAATGAAGGAAGCATTTGTGGCAGCGACTCTACATTCTACCGACAGACAGAAGGTATGCTGCTAAAAACTCATTTGATTAAAACACAGTCCTTACACTTTGAATTACTAGGCAAATAGCCTAGAATGCTGGTAAGTTCTGTTCACAGATCCAGCAATCTTTTAGCTGAAACATTTAGCAAGATAGCCAAAATCTTTGGATTTTTTTTTTTTTTCTGGGATATCTTGCTTTAGTATTACAGCTAATATACGCTTAAGCTAGTGCAATTTTCTTAATGTTCAGGTTTTGTTGTTTTTCTCCCATTTCCTTTCCTATGCTCATATATTTTCACGTTCTCTTTCTCCTGTTCTGTAGGTGTTTATAGGAAGCTTACAAATTTTCTTCCTATGATTTCTTCCTAACTATTTTGCTGGATTCTAAAATAAGCAACAAAAAAATACTGGGGTTTATTGTATTTAATATTTACTTTTAAGAAGTAACATAGAGATTGAGACAAACTTCTCTGTCTTAAGGTATTTATTTTACTGTGCAAAATTATGGTTTGAGGAAATTAACTGTCATGAACAACTTAAGATTCTAATATATGTACAGGATACGAGTCTTGAAGTTTGGAGCTCATTTTGCAAAATGTACATATATAAGGAACATGGTGGTTTTTATCTTATTCTTTACCTAGGACACAGCATGATGGATACCCTTGCTGTGGCCTTACGTGTTGCAGAGGAAGCAGTGGAAGAAGCTATTTCTAAGGCAGAGACCTACAGTGACAGCCTGGTAACATTACAAAAAAAGAAAAAAAAGTATTAATTTAAATAGAACGATTATGTTTCTTTTAATTTGGGTAGTGGTACAAAAACAAGTAGATACAGAAGAAAACATAAAGAAACAGTGACTATCTCATACCTAAAGAGTTGGGTATGTGTTTTCTGAACTTGTATCCAAGCCGCATGTTGCATTTCAGAAGGTGACATGCAATGTAAGTACCTGTAATTTATTCCCAAAGCTCCAGAAGGGTGTATTACCCCTTTCCTGATCTATACCATTTCTGTGGAAAGGCTATTTTTATGTGATTCTAGCAACTACAGATATCCATTTTCATGTAGGACAAGCAGAACGAGGCTTGTTACTTGCAGGAACACAAGGAGGACCTCATAGAAGAGCTGGCCACAACCATCGTGCAGAAGGTATGGCATGCAGTTTTTCCCATCTTGTTTAAAAGCTGCAACACAGTCCTCTAGTCTGGTGAGCTTTAACTCTGCTAACAGCAAAAAGGATGACACCAATGTAGAAAGTAGAGTAAATGACAAGTTGCAACTTCAACTATCACAATATAGTCTTAATCAGCTACATCTGACAGAGAAATCAATTTATAAATAAACTTAATCCAGTGCCTAAACTGATGCCCTACACCCTCAGACCTGAGAGATACCACTTCCTCAGGTGTGTGATATCCTTGCTTTGAAGAGGAGGCCCCTGCTCGATGGAATTTGACATCTGTACTTCACTTCCCAAAAGGCACAAAGTTTTCCAATGAAAAGAATCATAGAAACACAGAATGGTTTGGGTTGGAGGGCTCTTGACCATACCAGCTCTACTGAACCCTTCATCTGCAACACATACAAAAAAAACCTCCATCATTAAAACAGAATTCTGATAATGATGCTGTGAGACACCCCAAAAATCACAGAACCTTCTGTGTGTCTGATTCACGTGGCTTTTTCCAGAAACCTCCTTTTTCTCCCTGCAAAACTTGCAGTTGACACTGATACAGCACAGAAATGGAGGGCTAGTGGGAAAAAATACCCTTTGGGTATGTCTGGAGCAAGGCAAGAGGAACATGAACAGGGTGCTGCTGAGCTCCTGTGATCAGTAATGTAACCACTCCACTAAGTTAGTCTCCCTCCATGTGAACTAAGCTAATTGCCACATCTGTGTATGGGGTGTGGTGTTTGACAATGTATGTATCACACACCAGAAGAGGAACTTGTTGTTTTTAAGGCTATCAAGCCAGAAGAGCAGCAGCTCAATGGAAAATAATCTGCCTTCTTTTTGAATAGGGATGTTAGAAGATTAATTCTGTTTATGAGGTCTTTGATAGTCCAGAGCCTATCTCAGCCAAGCTTGCATTGCTACCACTTTTGTCAAAAGCTGCCTAACAGGATCTTTTATGCCACAAAATAATATTTTGTAGATGTTTTAAATCTGAGTCAGAAAAGTTGTGGAAATTAAGTGTAGCAGGATATAATCTGTCAGTGTAGGGAGGCAGGTAGTCCATATGATCTTCTCTCTCTCTCTTAAGATGGTGTAAATTTTTAAAAACAAAAATAATGCCTAGACACCTAAGACCTCTTTGTTTTCAGTAGAAATGTGTCTAGATGACATGGGAGCTTTTGAAATTCCCCTCATATCTAGTATTTTATGTTTCTTTGCAAAAATTCTTGTCTGAGAAAATACTTGACACTTAGATGCTGGTAATGTTTAAAGTGTTACTGTAGGAACAGGTTTCCATGTTTATTTAACTCACCTCTGATGTTCCTGCAGGCATAGATTATGATTTATTGTACCCATGCTTATGTGCTTGCAAGCAGTGTGACTTAGATGAGAAGAAATTCATGCAAGTCGTCAGAATCATCCTTGCATGAACTGGAGCAAAGGCAAATGGAAACTCCGATGTTCTTCCCAAGCAATTTGCCTTGGGACAGGGTTAATGTAGTTTTTCTCCATATGGCTCAGACAGTATTTTCCAAGCACCTTTTTTTTTTTATTCCCCTCCCACCCCCTGCCCCTCTACTTTACAGATTATAAAGAAGCAGAAGAGCAAAACTGAGCAGGCCGAGGCTGACTTTGAATGGCCACCATCCAGGAGCAGTGGCCTGGCATCTGTTGCGGTCTCAGATCAGAGTATGCTGACTTTTCCAGGGAGCCGCAGGGGATCCTACACGTTATGGGTAAGTGACTTAGCCCAACTATTGATGCTTTCTGCTGCACAAAACAGGAGGATTGGAATCATGGATAAGTATGCTTACTGCCCGGAATGGTACATAGAGACTTGCAGAGAACAAGCGTTAAACCTTTGTCTGGACTGTCACTCAGTTGCATGCTTTCCTAGCACATCATGGGCCATGGAAGAACATCACAGACATTGTGTTGTATTGGTGAGCGTGTTGGGGAGGACAAAGTTTGTGCTACAAGCAATCTTGCTGCTTGATTTGAATGCTAAAAGGACTCAGCGCTCCAGTGGTTATTCCTTAGAACAATTTTTATGCTCACTTAGCTTTTATTTGGATATTTGCTCAATGTTACATTTTCTATTGTACAATGTTAGATTTCTGTAATTTTTTTTTTCTCCTTAGCCATCTTAAAGAAAACAGCCACCACCAACAGCAAAAAAGTAAACCTAACAGTAAAGTCCCATTTACGTCTTACAGTAAAGAGTATTTCCTTATTGTTTTCATCACAGTGTCTTTAGCTCCTGCTATAAAGCTGAAGAAACTCTGACAAGCTGCATTAGTAACATTTTAAGAGCAGCAGCAAGGGAAAAGACGTGAAAATAAGCTATAGGCTTGGATAGGCTGTTTCACGATCAGAGATAGAGGACAGTGACAGATGAGTTCCAGTGAGTTTTGATACAGTGCTTTAAGCTGCTGCTCCCAAGTGCGATGCTACTGTGCCAGTAACCACCTCTCCCCCACTGAGCAGAATCACCAGAATTTAATGTGTGCTGTGCCTTAGTTCCCAGCTAAGTTTCCTAGCTTACACTGCCAGTGTAAATACATTCATGCCAGAATATAAGACTGTGGGCCAGAATTGCTGAGATACAGACTCACATTCTCGTCCCCCCACCTATTTCCAAATTGAAGGAGTAATGCCTTTAACCTGCTGCTGTTACCCAAGTGATCGGAAGTCAGGGTGAGCATGTTTAGGCACTTTGCTCTGTAGCTCCTGGGCAACTTGTTTGTGGAACATAAGAGCCAGGAGAAGGAGAGTTAATTTTGTGTCTGACTCAAATGAGTTTTCTTTCTGGAGTTTAAGGACAGGACCTAGAGGAACATGCTATTCAAATCCTCAGTTATTAAACCAAAAGCCTGCTGTTGTTCTGCATTTGGAGAGTTAAGTTTGAAGTCAACACCTTTTGAAATTCTGATTTGAAGTAACAAGTCTGAGTCCTGATTTTTTGCCGGAGGGAGCCTCGTTGGTTTGAGAAATAGTAGACTTTGTGGAGAATACTGGAGTAGCAGAAATATCATGCTAAGATAGAAAAGCCGCAACAAACAGCTTCAAAACTTCTACAGCCATCAGTCAGTACTAGGGATCCATATGTATACAGTGCTTTATATGAACTTTCTCCCTCTTTACAGGGTCTTTTACCACATTTGTCACCATTTGGTCCAGTTGTCTTCCCACAGTGTGTTAAGGAACATGAATTAATTTGGCCATCTAGTCTGGATTCTCTCACTCCTCCCATAAATTCAGTTTCTGCCTTTTGCTTTGCTAGGGTTGTTTTATTGCTTTCTTCTGTCCTTGGAAGTGTGCATGTGTTTATTTTTGCTTTGCTTTGAAAAGAGAAGAATTTTCTTAATATAACCAGACACCCTTTGAAAGGCAGCATAGCTCCAGTTGCTCCCATAGCTAATATAGTTGCAGTTATGTTAGCCTATTAGGCTAGCAGAAATAAAGTCATAGGAGCTCTAACAAAGGGTCCACTGGAAAGCATACTGAAAGGTAGCTTGTGCAGAGCAAATGTACAGCCATTAGTCTGCTTGATTGAATAGCAGTGGAACAACACAAATTCCTTTTTCTGAGCTCGCTTTCCATTCAACTTTGCTTTCATTCAGCTACAAATGGTAAGCATGCATCTGTCAGGGGATTTTCAGGGCTAAACTGCATCAGTTTCTCCTCTGTATATCATATGAGAAAGTTACCTTTTCTGCCAAAAGAATTGAATTTTTTTTTTCTTTCCAAAACCAAGCCTAGCTTCTACAGAAGGTGTCAGAGAGGCCCTATGGCGATATGCTCTTTCCAGGCAAAGCTTCTTACTCCTTCCCAGGTGGATTTTGGAAATCTTGAGCCCAAGCCTGGAACAGTAAATCTTCATGGGCTCCACTGCAATAAGTGAAGTTTTTGTATTTCCTAACTGATGACATTATGTTGACCAAAAAAACCCAAGCTCTTGATTTGTACGCACATCCTACCATTGAGCTGTGTGTGTTGGCTTAGTTTGAGCAGAGATCTGCCTGTAATGATAAAAACCCTTTCCTGTTAGCACATGCCACAGCTAACAAGGGGGCTCTTGCAACAGATTTATTAGGGTAGGTGTTCCTAGTGTAACTGAGGTTTTTGTAGACAGACTATGTGGCCACAACAACCCTAAGGGAAGCAAAAAAAAAAAAAGTGTGCATTTTTTTTTATCTAATCTTTTCCTATTTTTTTCTACTCAAGTTGACTATTATTTGGTTAGAGTTATGTACATGGACCTGTTTCCCAATAAGGATTATTTAAGTAGAAGTTCCTTTGTTTAAGACTTTGATTGTTTCCTGGCAAACATATCCATACTTGAAGCAAGCAGAAGCAGGGTAGATTAAATAAAAGGGAAGAAGAAACATGATTAATGGAAAGATAGACATGCAGAGGAAAGCAAGGTAAGGCAGATAGGATTTCATAATTTGAAACTGGAAATTTATCATAGAGCAAGTATTTTAACATGTCTTCTGTGTAGAAGATAATGCATGCAGTCTTGCTAGCACAATAAAGCTAGCAACATACGGTTACTTAAGGCGGTTGCATGCAATAACACTGGCCTTTAGAAACCCATGTTTATTATTGCATTGCATTTTATTACCAAAGTCACTTGCTTAAGTGCGTGGGGGAGCTGTAATAATCCCAGGTGTAACTGCATGATTATACCTGCCAAGCAGTTTTTCTTTTAATCACAGATATTTGTGTGCATCCATCCATATCAGCCAGAAACTTTCAGTCGGCTCCAGAAGCCCTTCGTTACCACCCTGCTCATCCAAAATCCCTTGCCTTGAAATTATCATTAAATAAATTAAACTGCCTCTTTGTAGTATGAAGTAAATGCTGTATGCAGGGAACTTGAGCTGTGTAAGCTGGGGACAGCACAGTGCCAAGAGACTAACTACATGAGACCTCCTTGACTGGAGAAAAATCTATTGATCTTCATTTTAAGGAACACACACACACGGTATCTCCCTGAAATATGTTATTGATTGTTTAACTGCAGTACTCTGGTGTGGTAGTAGCCATAGATATTGTCTTTTCTATTTTTTCCTCTTAGATTTCTTTGAGATCCCTTGCCCATGCTAAAAATAGCGATACAAGGCTGAATATTTTATTTCTCCATCTCATAAAAAGAGATGGATGGCACCATCTGTTTCTCATTACCAATAAGCAAAGGCTGTATAATGTTGGGATAGGAGGAGCTTAGAGCAATGGGCGGATGCTCCTCTGCTCTCTCAGTCCATTTTCCCCCCATACATCACTGCCAGTGAGAGCAAACGACCAGGTGGCATATTGTGTCCCATTTAAACACTGATGGAGTGCAGGCATCCTAGTGTGTTCTAAGTGCAGTATCAATGGTCTTTATTTTACAGCTAAAAGATTGCATATATAAACAGAAGCTCATCCATAATTTATGGTATATAAAACAGCTAGGGATATAGGGGAAAGGAGGATTTCATTAAATACACATTATAATGCACCTCAGGGGAAGCAGAAATTTACTGGTTAAGGTAATTATAAGGTCTACAGTGTACCAACAGTTGTTTTTGGTTTTGGTTTGATTTTTTTTTTTTTCCCCTTTGATTTGTTTTAAAGAGAAGGAAGGTTCCACAAGCCTGAGGTCCAGCACTGCTTTGGAAATCCCTGGAGGTTTTGCAGGTGCTCTATACATTCGTAGGTTTGTCTCAAACAAATATTTGAAGAAAACCTTTTTGAGGAGGAATCCTGGTTAGCAGTCTTAAGACACAATGGGAGAACTATTTCAGTTGAGGGATGCATGACACTGTAGGAAGTTGATACCAGCTGACAGCAGTTCTTACCTGTCAATGACTCTGTATCAGAAACATCGTATTTATGACTAATTAATAAATGTGTCATGTCATAGAGAAGATGGAGCTTTTAGCTCTTACACATGAGCTGGGGTCAGAAGATTGCACAGAGTGTATTGCTGGGACCTACTTCCAATGAAGCAGGCATGCATTTGTTCAGAAGCCCATCAACTGAATCCTGATGGGTTATTTACTGTCTTGTTTCCTTCCAGAAGCAGCCAACCACAGCACCATCTTCTCTGCACAGAATGGAAAGAACAGTACACTTTGAGATGGAAAAGCGCTTGGTGCTTTAGAAAATAATGGGTCATTTTTATTAATATTTATTGAGAAGATCCAACTTTCTTTGTGTACTTTCCAGGTTACAAATCTTCCTGTCATCTGCTGCAGTTGTAATGTTGTAGTCTCACTGCAAAAATGATCTGGATTTCAGATCAAGACAGCCATAGATTTGATTTCAAATCAAATCAGTCCATAGTAATCTGGCTGATTTCCCTCCTTCTACTGCAACAGAAGGATAGGATACATCTGCTTTTGCAATTCTGACTCAGCAATTAGTACCACTTTTTAAGGCTTCAGGTGTCTAAATAATCAGTGCAAGGCTAAACATGACAGCATTGTCCTTTTAAAGTATTTGTACAGTTTGCGTTTCTTTGAGATGTGCCTCTAGCAGAAGATTACTGATTCTTGGTTTCAAGGACTATTCATGCACCAAACATCCAAGAAGACCATTTTGGATGCTAGGTATATGATCAAGCCCATACAGGCCTAAATTCAGCTGAATTGCATTTACTGCCAGCAAATGAAGGTAGGTTTTAAGTCATAAAAGGGAGTTGGAGAGAGGATAGAGGAGGGCGGTCAGTCTATAATGTTATTTTCCA